CCAACCCCCTGCTCAAAGCAGGACCAATTCCCAGCTAAATCATCCCAGCCAGGGCTTTGTCAAGCCGGGCCTTAAAAACCTCTAAGGATGGAGATTCCCCCACCTCCCTAGGTAACCCATTCCAGTGCTTCACCACCCTCCTAGTGAAATAGTGTTTCCTAATATCCAACTTAAACCTCCCCCACTGCAACTTGAGACCATTGCTCCTTGTTCTGTCATCTGCCACCACTGAGAACAGCCGAGCTCCATCCTCTTTGGAACCCCCCTTCAGGTAGTTGAAAGCAGCTATCAAATCCCCCCTCACTCTTCTCTTCTGCAGACTAAACATCCCAGTTCCCTCAGCCTCTCCTCATAAGTCATGTGCCCCAGGCCCCTAATCGTTTTCGTTGCCCTCCGCTGGACTCTCTCCAATTTGTCCACATCCCTTCTGTAGTGAGGGGGGGGGGAAACCAGTTGTTTCCAGTCTCTCCAGTGTGAAGGTTTGTCAAAGATAAAGTTCTGTGGGGCTTTGAAGAGGGGCATGTTGAGGAGATCCTGCAACTTTTTGGTTTTTTTCTGCCTGCAACCTTGGCTGCTGATTCTTCTGTTTCTGTTCTTGGTTCCACTCCTGGCACCTCCTCATCCTCCTGTACCCGATCTGGCCTGCGGAGCTCACTTACCCACCCCGGCTGCGTCCATCGGGGACAGCTTAGGTTAGCTTAAATAGGGTATTTTACTCACCGCACCACCTGGTGGCGGTGCAGTATAATACAGTTTAGCGTCCCATTCCCACCAGCTCTTGAGACTGGCTTCCCCGGAGGAACTGGCCCCCACTCACCAGGGTGTCTTTGCTGCTACAGTGAACCACCCAGCCTTCCTTCAGCGCCGTGCTCGACCTCCGGGTCGTGTGCCTCACCGACTGCACCACCCGCATCAGCGGGATGTAGCCCATGGAGCTGTGGGGGGGGAGAACGACCGGACACGTTAGCTGCAGGGGTTGGGGGAGTGGAGGCAGGGAACCTCGGGGCTGGGCTGCGGATCAGCACTGAGGAGCATCAGCAGATCTGGGGGTGAGGGAACCTGGAACTGAGATAGCAGGAAGGGGGCTGCAGTTCCGGACTGAGGAGCATCGGTAGAGCTGTGGGAACCGGTGGGAGCCCAGAGCTGGGGGGGCTGTGGGTCAGGATTGAGGGCTAAGGGCAAAGCTGTGGCAGGGGGAACCCAGGGATGGGGTAGCTGGGGGGGCTGTGGGTCAGGACTGAGGGTCATCAGAGCTGGAGGGGGGGGGGGACAGGAAATCCCAGGGAAGGTCCCCCAGACCCAGAGGTGAAGTGGTCAGGGGACATTTGCTCCCCACACCAGGAAACACAGCTGCCACTTCAGGCTACCACCAGGTGGTAGCCTGAAGCCAGGGGGACTCTGGCCTAGGCTTCTGGGGAGGGAGGGGCAGGGCAGGGGTGATTCGGGGGGGGGGCAGGGCTGTACCCCTGGGATTTGCTGGCGTCGTCCCCTCCGCAGAGCTCATTCTCAGAGTGGGAGCCGGGGATGATGCCCGAGTCGTCCGATTCGTCCATCAGCGAGTTCTTGTCGGCATCGCTCAGATCGCTGGCGTCTTCCATGGGCACGTCTGGGGGGGAAGCACCAGAGTCCGTGGGAACGGCACCGGGGGAAGGGAGGCCCTGCCGGTGCCAAGCTGCAGCCCCGGGTGTCCAGAACTGCCCCCCAGGACCCTGCCACGCTGGGATCCCAACCCTTGGGCGGGCAGGGGACGAAGGAGACTCGTCTTGCAGCCCACACACTGTATGAGCCAGGGCTAGGGCTCGATCCCCACCCCCAGTCCCGTCCCCCTCCCCAGCCCCTGGGCAGTAGCGCCAAGACACCACCATCACCTCCGCCCACGCACGACTGCCACTCACCCCCGCCGTTGAAGAGCGTCTCGCCCAGGCAGTCATTGGGCACCCGGGTGGCACAGCGCTTGTGGCAGTTAAACTTGCAGTCTGAAAGAGGGGTGAGCGTCAGGGGGGTGCCAGCATGGGGGTCTCTGGCCCTGTCTCTCCACCGTCCCGCTCCCCTTCCCAAAATGCCCTGCAGTACCCCACAGTCTCACCAGGGGGCGCTGTGCAGCGGCAGGGACAGTGCCCCCACCCTCCCGGGGAGATGGCAGAACAAGACACAAACCCCCTCCCAGACTCCTTGCACCAGCCAGGCTGCGAGCCCCAGGATCTCAGCCAAACCCCACCAGCCGTGTCCATTCCTGTCCCTCCCGAAATCTCCCCCTCCTGTAGGTGATGGCTTCTCCTCCACTTCCCGTCCCCTCATTTTTGTATGCTGTTGCTTTTCTCTGTCAGACAGCTGCCACGTTCCACCCCAGAAGTAGCTGCCTGTACAGGGCCTGGCACAAGGGGGTCCTGGTCTATGACGGGAGCCCCTTGGAACTACCATAATATACCTAATAAATAAGAATAAATTTCAGAGCTGGGTGGAGCCATTTCTGTTCTATAGCCAGTCTCCTGGCAGCCCTGCCACCCGAGATCAGACCCCATGGACCCATCTAGCCTGGTGTCCCACCTCTCAACAGCAGCCAATTAAGAAAGCTTCAAAGGAAAGCACATTCACTCCTCCCTTTTAGGGGTGGGTGTGGAGCGGGTGGGCAGAATCTCCTTCCTGTCCCCTCTGATGCTCATACCAGGCCCTGAAGCATGAGAGTGGAAGCCCTTTCCCATAGAAATACCCAGCCCCTTCTTACATCCAGCTGCACCACTGGACCTTCCAGTGGCAGGGAGTTCCACCGGCCGTGTGCACCCAGCGCTCCCCTCTCCTTACCTTTGCCCTTCTTGGAGAATGGCTGATTCCCACCTGACCCCCGCTCTCCCTTCCCCACTCACCTTTGCACTGCAGGCCCTGGCGGAAGAGCCCCTTGAGCAGCTTCTTGCAGAACTGGCAGACGGTGGGGCGGGTGTACGAGTGGATGAGGAAGGTGTGGGGCACCTTGACCTTGGACAGGAACAGCTTGTCCAGCTCGATGGGGCGCCCGATGTAGGAGGTGCTGGTGAGCCGACGGGGCAAGGTCTCCATGGAGCTCCGGCTCTGCAGGGGGAGTGGGGGAGAGTGGGCATTATAACCCATGGAGGCAAGAGCTCCGTGCCCCAGAGCGCAGGCCCCGTGCCCTGCCCTCTACCAGCCACAAGGGAGCGGGAGTCACGTTCCATGGCCAACCCAGCACTGCAGCAGCCACAGAGGGGGCCAGTTAGCGCCGCCATGGGGCGGGGCGGTGGGACTTCCAGCTCGGGACCCAGTACATTGAGAGCTGGGTCGAGACCTGATCTTGTGACACCCAGGGGCTGCCCATACACCCCCACCCCACTCTTCCTGGGGCATGACCCTTGGTCATGGCCAGCCACAGCTCTAAACTACCCAGCAGTAGTGAGGATTGGACCCCAGACCGCTCCCATCCCCAGCACCCAGACTCTGCCCCTCCAGCCTGAGAAGAATCTCCCTGAGCCGGGCAGTATAGGGGGCCTGACACACAGCTCAGGTGGCCACGACGCACGGCCAGCGCCATATCCGGGGTTGGCCCGCAATGCAGAGCCGAGTGGTCCCCATCCCCACCCTGCGGGGACTCTTACCAGCTCGTCGGAGGCGCAGGGCAGCGACTCGGAGGTGGCGAGACGCAGGGACTGCGAGGTGGCCAGCGAGGTGGCCGAGAGGCGGCGCTTGCGGGCCCCGCTGCAGTTGTTGGGGATGTTGAAGGCGCAGCGCTTGTGGTAGTTCAGGCCACAACCTGCAATATGGAGGAGCCGCCTGTGTCACATTTCTGACCGGACGGGCGGCGGGAGGGCCCGGGGGTGGGGGAGGCCCAGTGTGGGATCAGGGCCCCATGGCGCTGTCCGAAGACCAAGGCAGTCCTCCCCCACAGAGGCTACGATCTAAGTGTAAGAGAGACAGACGGATGGGGAGGCAGGAGGCACCGCTCTGTGCAGTGGTCCCAGCCCAAGGGGTGGGGCAGGCCCCAGCGTGGATCCGGCTGGGACGCTGGTTTAACGGGACGGCTTAGAGCCCAGGTTAAGCATTAAGTTGGTTAATTACCTACATGCTAAATGACTCCGTCTCCGGCTGCGTCCCGAGGCTGGGACAGGACATGTGGCGAAGGGGCCACAGCCACGCGCTGGTGCCCCCAAGGTCAAAAGCAGAGCTCCCCAGTGCCAGGCACTCTGCCCCCCCCACCCCGCAGGCCAGGCAGAGGTGACCTGGGGGGGTGAAAAGCGATGCCAGCCCCCACCCTAGAGAGATTGCCCCCCCCAGGGACATAGGAGTGCCCCCACCCTATGTCTGCTCAGTCTGTGGGGCTTTGTGGACAGTTTGGGTTGTTTCTCACCTACTGTTTTGTGCAGTGGGACCCCCTTCAAACTGGGCTGAGACCCCCCCTCAACTCATTACACACAAGGGTCACCGAACAGCCACTCCCCTCCTCCCTGCGCCAGCCAGTCCCCCATCCTGGGGCCAGATCAGAGCCGGCATCGCCTACAGGGGAAAGGCCCCATGTCCCATTCCCCACCCCCGTGAGTCAGCCAGACCCTTGGGCTCAGATGGGGAGACACCCCCACACCCTCCCCCTGGGCTCCGTACCGTCACACTTGAGGCCCTGGCGCACGAGGCCGAAGAGCATTTCCCCGCAGTGGTCGCAGAAGGCCGGGGCGCGGTACGAATGCACGTTCAGGGCGTGCGGACGTATCCGGAAATCCTCAAAGGTGGCCGAGGCTGGCGGACGAGAGAGAGGGAGCTCAGGGAACGGCACGGCCCAGTCCAGACCCACCGACTGCCCCCGGGAGCGCGTGGGCCCGGCTGGATCCACTTCCCTGCGCCCACCTCCCCGTAACAATCCATAGCCAACACCCCGCTTTGGGCAGTGGCCAGACCCCCCTGTTGGTGCCAGGGGCGCCCCCTGCTGGCGAGAAGGGATTCTCTAACACAGGGGGGCCGCTGGCACAGATTGGGCGGGCGCGGGGCAGGATTTCCTGTGGGGGGTGGCGGTGGGGGAAACGTCATCACCGCGGGCCTCGGAGCTGCCGCGCCCCTGCCCTTCCCCCCAGCAGGTCTCGTGCCAGGGAGCCGGCCCCCAAACCACTTCCTGCCGGGGCGCGCGCGGGCGGCCCTGACTCAAAACAGCACCTGGGCACCGGCAGGAGCGAAAGCAGCCGTGGGCGGGGAGCAGCGGAGGAGAGCGATGGCGCCAGGGAGCCAGGGCACGGCCCACAGCCGTGCATGGGGAAGCTCCCCACCCACCCACAGCCCTGGAGTGACTACGCCGTGATGGGTACCCGGGTACCTGGCGCTATATCCCAGCCTCTTCCCAGAGGCACCAAGACACGTCCTGTCCCCCTGCCATCTCCCAGCACCCCGTGGCACTGTGTCCCGTCCTCTCCAGCCATGACGCATCCCAAACCAGGCCCTGCCTGTCGTATGGCAACGTGCCAAGGGGCAGCGTCGTGCCGGTGTAGCATCCGCTTCGCCAGCCCCGGGGGCGGCCCCATTCTGCCCCGCCCAGCCCTCAGCGCCCCATCGGTCCGCCCAGCCTTCTGCCAACACAGGGCAAGCAACGCAGCCACCGCC